AAGACGGGGGGTGTAACAAGATCTTTTCCACCAGGCATTTAAGTATTGTGGTCAGACAAATGAATGGCAAAGCGATTTTATGCTAATTGACCACCAGACGGTACCCCCCCCTCACAATATTTTATAGTTATCTGCAGTCGTACTTCCTTCCCATCCTGAAGGATCCCAAAAGGCTTCCCACACCACTGAAATGCGGCCGCCTTTGGGGCAAAGGGTGGCCACTTGCCAGCCTGTTCCACCAAAGCAGGACAGGGAGGGGAAATGCTGGCGAAAGCTCCTGTGGGATTCTTGATGCCTCACCCTAAGCAGAGACAACCTCAGGCTTCATCCCAAAGACCCAAACACAGTAAATTACAAGGTATTCTAATTACCTACATAGGAAGGGGTGATGGACTAACTTGACCCTTTAATAGATTCCAAGGCCAGAAAGGGACCATTGTGATCATCTAGTCTGACCTCCTGAATGACGTAGGCCAGAGAACTTCCCCATGAGGATTTGAAGCCAAGGGGTCTAGGACTTTCAAACCTGAGGCTTAGAATAGAGAAGCCATCCCCTGGGCCAGAGAGTTGGCTGCTACTGGCCTTTCTTCCTACTGTTATTTTATTACATGTGTTGCGGTAGTGCCTCCTAGCTGTAGTCACGGGCAAAGACCTCAGTGGACTCGTACAAATGCAGAACAAAAAGCCAGTCCCTGCCCCAGAGAGCTACAGTCTGACTCTGTGCATTGCTTCAAGTTCTGTACTGTAGAAAAACACCTTCAATAGCCTCAGATCCATGGGAGAAGGAGTGTCGAGCCTGTGGAGTTGGAGGTGGTTGTATGTACCTTGGAGAACGCCGGTCACTATGGGTGAAATTCTCCCCTGGGCAGAAGGCCAGCTTGGGGCCAGGGAAACTGAGTCACAGAGAGCGGTCAAGGTTACACAGCAAGCCAAGGGCGGGACTGTTGGACAATAGAACCGAGGAGTTGACTCCTAGTCCTGAGCTCTGACTACCAGACAACATTCTCTCCACCCCACAGATCCCGGGGGCAGCTGCATGGCGAGGTGGAGGCTCCAGGTTTCCCCTTTCCTCCCGGTGGCCCTGCCTCTGACTGCCTCTGCCCACCCTCCCTCCCCAGAGGGCATTAAAGATGTGAAGGGAGAATGAAAGCTGCTTGGCAAATGCGTTGATTCGCACAGCGATTTCCTACTGGAAATCCATCAGGGCCTGAGGAGAGCACACCATGGAGAGAGGCAGCTTGGCCCACTGTACTGGAGGGAGGGACTTCAACCAGGCACCAAGAACATAAGAATGGCCATACTGGGTCAGACCAAAGCCCAGTAGCCTGTCTTCTGACAGTGGCCAATGCCAGATGCCCCAGAGGGAATAAACAGAACAGGTCATCATCAAGTGATCCATCCTCTGTCGCTCATTCCCAGCTTCTGGCAAACAGAGGCTAGGGACACCATCCCTGCCCATCCTGGCTAATAGCCATTGATGGACCTATCCTCCATGAATTTATCTAGTTCTTTTTTGAACCCTGTTATAGTCTTGGCCTTCGCACCATCCTCTGGCAAGGAGTTCCACAGGTTGACTGAGTTGTGTGAAAAAATACTTCCTTCTGTTTGTTTTAAACCTGCTGCCTATTAATTTCACTTAGTGACCCCTAGTTCCTGTGTTATGAGAAGGAGCAAATAACACTTCCTTATTTACTTTCTCCACACTAGTCATGAGTTTATAGACCTCTATCATATTCCCCCTTAGTCATCTCTTTTCCAAGCTGAAAAGTCCCAGTCTTATTAATCTCTCCTCATATGGCAGCCGTTCCATACCCCTAATCATTTTTGTTGCCCTTTTCTGAACTTTTTCCAATTCCAATATATCTTTTTTTGAGATGGGGCGACCACATCTGCATGCAGTGTTCAAGATGTGGGCATACCATGGATTTATATAGAGGCAATATGGTATTTTCTGTCTTATTATCTATCCCTTTCTTAACGATGCCCAGCATTCTGTTCACAAGGAAGCCAGGAAGCAGCTGCTCCCACCTTTCCACCCTCCCTGCCCCTCCTGCTTTTGCTTGGAAAGTGGGAGGAACACAAGGCACCTCTCAAAGGCAGGTATTATTATCGCCATGGTGGGGGGAACTGAGGCACAGCGTTTGCGTTACTTGCCCAGGGTCACTCAGCAGCTGAATGATGGAATCAAGACTAGAACCAGGTCACCTGTTCTCTGCTTTAACCGCTAGACCCCCTGGCCAGACTGCTCCCCCGTAGCCCTGTGTAGTAAAGGTCTGTGGGGGGAATGGATCACTCCACATGTTGGGGATGCACTAGCTGGCTTATCTGGAAGATGCTTGGGAAGGAAGGTGGGGAAAGGCTGGGCCCAGAGAAGCAGAACCGCCACACAAGGCTGAGTTCAGTGGCTGCCCGGTGGTCCCACCGGTCTCGCCGTGTTCTTCTCCAAAGGGGTGGGAATGTAGGGGAGACATGGGTGCCTGTGTGAAAAAGGGGGCACCAGGTCCCCCATTGACCCTAATCATAGACCCCGGAGATCACCCCCACTCCCTGCCGAGCCAGGGTTTGACCAAGGAACTTGCACCGAAAGGCAGATGGACGTTAGACTCAGCTCAGCAACCACCAGGACATCCAGTCCCTCCACCCAACACAGGGCTGCTCCTTAGACCAGACTTTCTAGCATTGTTTCCTGTTGAAGGTAAAGAGACCTGGGAAGCAGCCCGCCATGAGGGCACGGTCTGCTGTTGCTCTGGGTCCCTGCCTTGCTGAGAGCAGTTTAGCAGTTCCGAGCACCCCTTTGACGGCAGAAAGGCTCCCCAGCAGCTGGGGGAGAGAATGATTTAGCAGGAAATTCAATCTGGGATGGCCTCGGTCTCATTTCTGCAAGCGCCAACTCCTTCCTCTTTTGGGGGGCAGTAAAGAGACCTCCTGGCCCAAAGAGCTTCGGAGAGGGTAGTTGTTGAAAACGCGGCCTCTATCCTGCAGTGCCCAGCAAGGGAGCCGCATACTTAACTAGGAGACAGGGATCTGTTTCTAGTTCTGACCCCTACATTTGGATAGTAGGTGCTGCAAAGAACTGATAGGTCAGGGGTGTGGAGGATCTGATGTTACCTCCAACAACCTACTGTCTAGGCATCCTTTAGAACCCGCGAATAAAATTCTCCAGCTGTTTGCACAGATTAGGCTATATTTTTTTAAAACGAGAGATACTTTAGCAGTGGCTGAATAGGCACCACCGATAGACATGACAAGTGGACAGGAGGGAGAGAGGGGGAAAAGAGATCGCCTGGTTTCCTAAGTCCTTTAGCAGTCAAACGAAACCCCCTTGGAAGGCAGAATGAAAAGATGCGCTCTTCTTGTCTGCATTCACCTGCTGTTCGAAGCCGTGCACTATCCAAACTGTCCACCAGGTGGGGTTACAGGGCAAAGAGTGAACCGCGAGGCTCCAAGCGATGGGAGAATTCAGCTCTGAAGAGGGCAGGACTAGAGAGGGTGGGGGAGCGAGTTGAGCGCCTCTCCTAGTCCATGCTCCGAGCTAGAAGTGCATTCAGGGCAGCAAAGGAGAGCCAGTCCTTTAGGCGCTCTGCTGACACACTCACCCTTGGCTCTGGTGCCATTGACTCAGAGAAAACAAAACCATCAGGACAATCTGAGACACAGAAAGAGGGAGAGAGCTACATCCATGTCTGAGCCCCACTATCCACCAGACTCAAACCAGCTGGGGGGTGGGGTGGGGTGGGGTGGGGGGGAGTCAATGAACTTTTGTTTCCCCTGTAATCTGAAGCAAATTCTTTGCAAATCTGCCTTTAACGACCCAGCCCTGACCCTTGGAGAATACCTTTCCCTGGTGTGGGGGGAGCAAACTTTGGGTGTGGTGAGGGGTGGGGGCCGGGAGAGACTCTTGCTAACAAGAACTGTGATATGTAGGAGGAATCAAAGGAGAGCAAGACAGTTTGACAGCCTCCCTCGAACTGGGATGGCAAAACTTCAGTGCTCTATGAAATGCAGCGGTGTCTTTTCAAACACACCTTCCCTTCAGCCTTTTGCCCCAGTGAAAGCGCACGGGCTGCTCATGCAGAACCAGAAAGTCGGATCGGGACCGGAGATTATTTTGTGGAGTAATTTTAAAGTCTCTGGGGGGGGGAGTGGGGAAGCGGGCTGATCTCCAGAGACCCTGGTGTAAATCAATTGTAGACTCCTCCTGGGCTCGCCTCTTGCTGCGGCAGGGTGTGTGTCCATGAGACACCCTGGAAAGAAAAATCTCATTCAAAAATAAAATCAGTGAAGCAATAAACACAAGTGGCTGCAAACAGAGGGGATGCCCCAGTCACCCCCCCCTCCCCTCGCCCCTTTCCAGGTGAAAGCCGCTGCAACAGCCCAGGGCTGGGAAAGATGCCCCCACATGGCTGAGCGCCTGTTTGTTTATCTCCTTGTTGTAGGTGTGGATTCCAGCAGACAGGAAAATGAAAAACTCAGTTTGATCCTTCTACAGCCCTCCCCGGCTGTCTCTTTTCTGGGACTGAAGCCAAACCTCGCACGCTCCAGCGCCCGGTCTGCCTAGACGTTCACCCCGCCTCCAAAAAGTCCTCTGAAGTGAAGGGGGGTGTGGGGGGGGGGAGGCTGGCTGCTTGCCCATTACTCAGCCTCCCTGCCTCTATATAAACACACACATTGACTTTCTTTTTTACTCAAACTCACATTGAGAGAGGATTTAACAACCAAACCTCCCTCTTTACAGCAATCCAGTGGAGAAAAGTCTAGGGCTTACAATAACCAGCCTATATATAGCTCGATAACTCTCTCTCTCTCTTTATTTATATATTTAATTCCTGCTCCATCTCTCCAGAGCTTTGCTGAATGATTTCACGCTATAGAGAGATGCTATATTTTTCTGGCTTGCATTGGCAGCAAAGAGACCTATAGCATTGGCATAGGGTTTTTTTCTTCTTTTTTTTTTTAATTTGATTGCACACACCGAGTTTGTGGGGTTTTTTTTCTTTTTCTTTTTGGCTGTGTGCTCTGTAAAAGTTTACTTTAAAAGTTTTCAGAGAGGGGAATCTTATTTTGCTGCTGGTGGTGGGGGGAAGAGAACCAGACACCTCCCTACCCCACCCCCCAAATTCTGATCTCCTCCCCCTTCCCTGCTCTGAGCTCACCTTCTATGAAGCGCTACAGTGGGTGACTTTTTATTTGCCTTTTTGTGCCTGTGTGCGGTGCATTTCAGAGGGTTTGGGTTGTTTTTCCCCCCCCCCTCCCTCCTCCTTCTCCTTCCAAATATGCTTTTCGAAAGTTTTGATCTGGTTTCTGCGCTGGCTACCCTTGCTGCATGCCTGGTATCATTGACTCTGCTCTTGGCAGTGTCCCAACAGCTGTGGCAGCTGCGCTGGGCAGCCACTCGGGACAAAAGCTGCAAGTTACCGATCCCTAAAGGGTCTATGGGATTCCCCTTAATCGGAGAAACGTTCCACTGGCTGCTCCAGGTAAGGATTCCCCTTCCTTCATTTAAGGTGGGCTGGGACAGTTGGTTTGCACCAGTGGGATTGCATCATGCATTCTCGCAGGAGCAGGGGGAAGATTTCAGAGGCACTTTTATTCTGGGGGGGGGGCGTGGGGGGGTTCGTTTTCAAAGCAGAGCGAGGCGCTGAATGGAAGCCTATCGATTTGCAACACTTTATGTCCATGGCAAGGGGATTGCTCTGAGCTGCTGAGTGTTGTCTGGGCTTTCCTCCTCAAATCTCAGGCCGGTCAGGAATTGCATTCATTGAAATAGCCCCGTGCATTTAAGAATCGGGACCATTTACTGCTCGAGGAGGCCAAAAAATCGGGACCGTTGAAATTGTGTTTTATTGGCCACTAAAAAACCAGCGAGTCTCCTTTACAAATGATCCCCCTTTGCCCAAGCAGATGGCTGGGTGAACTGGGAACATTTAAGACTTCAGAAAGGTCCCCATCATCGCCAGGGACTGGGGTCACCATGTGGGCATGGTTCTGCCCCGAGGGGTACCTCTTAGAATTCCGTTGCAAGCCAGCCTGGGAGCGAACATTACCCAAGTGGGTGCATTGCCCCTTTAAGGCTAGGACAGATTTACATTAGTCAGCCAGGTAAAAGCAGCTCCTTTCTGCAAGTCAGAGTACACCCTGGAGGAATCAAAGCGACTCCCGACCCCCGGCAGCGGGGTTGCTGGTTTAAAACTCGGTGACTGTCGATTCAGGAGCCATAGAAGGGAAGTGATTCTGATTTGCAGTTGTTGCCATAGATTAGATGAGATGTATAAACAGTGTAACTCAGATCCACTGGAGTGGGAAGCATTTGTAGGTAATCGTTAGATTAACCCGGGATTAGCCTTGTTAAAGGCTGAACAGCGTTTTGTGGAATTTGATCACCCCCAGACCGAAAGACCTGGATACAGTCACCACCGGATGACGGTGTGTGCTGGTCCGAGAACTAACTTTTAGCAGTACTGATGAAGCGTGGCTGGTTATTAGCGAACAATCCCCAATACCCTGTGAAAACACAGTACAATCTGTTGTCAATAACGAGTGCTTTGAAGTGTCCAGACTATCTCAATTCAATATCCAGGCTGTTCGATGCACAGATCGGTGGCTTTCATTCACCACTCCGGTTAAATACATTTCGACTGGTTTAGGAGGGAACCCGCCTGGAATTAGCAAATGTATTATTTTAAGGATGCTCTAACGAGCAAAGGTCAGATTTCATTGGTTGGTTTGGGAAGAGGAGGCTACACCGGTTTACACGTTCTTGGTTTCTGCGCGGATTCCTCCCCTCGCACATTTCGGTGCTAACAAGACATAAAATGCATCGGGCTGGTGTGTGTGCATGCCGGTAGCACCTTTCCCCCCCCCCTCGGACCCCAACATTTCTAGCCATAACAAGTTACAGAATCAAAACAAACTCTGGAAACACCCAGCCAGAGACCCTCTCTTTCCACGCCAGCCGACTTGTAAAAGAGGAGAGCGCCAACCTTCTGGCAGCAGCCAAAGAGTTAACTGCACACTTTCAATGGTGCTTTATTTTTTAAAGAAATTTATCAGATTTTTACAGGGGGACCAGAAAAGGGTTCTCCCTTTCCACAGGCTCCATCCAAACAGAGTCCAGGGCTAAAAATACAAAATGTTGTATAAATTGGACTCCACTCGAAACTCCTACCACATAAAGGTGGCCTTTGTGCTGCAGTGGAAATGCTGTACAAATAACTCTTTATTAATGCCACAAAAAGCACTTTAATTATATTTACGCAGATCAAGAAACAGGGTCACCTGAAACATCGAAAATTCACAACCGCGCTTTTGTTAAAAAATAAACACCCCCCCCTAAACATCACTTCAGTTTGTGTAGCTACAATGGTTAAGCGCAGATTGGAACTTTTTCTTCCAAGCGATTGTATTTAAAGGGGAAGCTCCTTTTGCAAACTTGAAAGTTTCTCACAAACTTTCTGGTTTTTTTCGGGGGGGGGGGAGTGTCAATTTTTTTTGGCCTCCTTGTGCCCCTTTTCTATGACAAAAGAACCTCCGCGCATGTGGAAAAGTTATTAAAACTCCAGAATCTGCAGACTGACTTAGCCCAAGACAATTACACCCTTTAAAAGTAATTCAGATTTCATGAAAAGTTTTAAAGCTTTGGTATGTTATGAAACTGAAAGGGGGCAGTCGGTTATTTTGGTTTCCTGAATGAATTGTTCTTTATGGGATAAATCCTTGGCCCATTAAATCCGCCCTCATTGGAAGACTTGGTCATTAATTCACCCTTGCAGACAGAGAAGAGTAGCATGAAACAGAGCTACCTGTGTTGGGGACCGAGCAACTTACAACCAGTGTTCGTGCTATTCGCCATCACGGTACTTTAAGTAAAGTTTGTGCATTCATTGGCAAGGGGGTAGGAACTTGACGCCAAGATCTCAGTACGTTTCTTGTCTGGAGGTAGTGGATAAGATTAGTAATAGGAGGACTCCCTAACTTCATTAGGGCGCCAGGCAGAGAAAACAATGCCTCTCTATCGCCCAGGGTCCAGCATTTCACTCAATGACGGGGTGTGGACAAGAGGAGAGTTCTCCAAATTAGCCTGATGATCCAGGGAATTTGAGTGTATCGAGGTGACAAACACGACCTCTTCCTCCAAGCTTGGTGGGAGCCGGCAACACCCCTGATAGTCCAACCTGATAAGTTTTAAGGATACTTGATTTCACGCAGCTATGCAAAACCGTGTCTAGATAGATACGTTCATTCCACCAGGCTGTCTCAGTCTATACCCCCCCCTTCTTGCCCCCCACCAACCAAGGTGTTTCCCAACCGCCTGTTGCTCGAGATCATTTTACTAGCATTGGTTATATGCACCTTAATGCCGGTCATTACCCAATCCAGCCAGACTGCCCCCGAGTCTTGCTGGGATAGAATCACACGCCCTATTGGTTTCACATTACTCAACCCATCCCAGTTACCCACGTCCAAACCTCTGTCAAATCATCACTTTCCCGCATCGCTGACCCATTGCCTCCCGCTAAACTATGCCGTCTCTCCTCGCTGACCTTTCGCACACATCGAGGACCTCGGGCCGGTGGGTCTGACGCCCCAGAAAAGGGAGCCCCCTCCCCCCAAGTCCACCTTCTTTCCCCAAACTTCTCTCCAGACCGTGCCCAAGACCTGCTTGGCATCTGTCTAGTTATGTGTCTCTCCCTGCACAGCAGCCAGTTTGCATTCCTCCCTGTTATGCGGTGCAACTACAGTAGCATATTTTTTCCCCTTTAAACTGCTTTTCATCATAAATCCAACGGGGAGCTTGTGGGATCAGTGGCTTCTGTTATTAGCCACTGGCTAGTGGCCATAGTTCCTGAGGGGCTGCAAAGTACAGGGATGGTCTTGGAACAAGTTTCTTTGATTGGGGTTAAAGGAGCCTTCACCCTCCCATTGGGGGTGAATCAAAGGTCACTGGGGTGGGTGCCACACTGCAGGCTCATCATCTATTTTCCCCTCCACAATATTTTCCGGGATCTTTAAACGGAGAGGGAGGTTTCGACAGGGATACATTTCCTGGCTGGGCCCCTAATATTGGAAAAGCCAGTGCACTGCACGACCCCCCCCCCTCCTCATCACAGCGCTGGGAAATCCCAAGGAGCGCCTTTTAGGGCATTCCCCACCTCAAGCGGGAGCGTGAGGGAAGTGGGGGGACGCGGTGAGAAAAGAGAGGAGCCCCCCACTCCTTTACTAACATTTTGACCCCCTCCCCGGCTTTCAGTAAAAGCCACAGAGATCTCAATAAAGGTGCCTGTCCTTAGGGATCAAAGTCGGTGCCCATAAGTGATTGTCTGTCCCCAGGCTCAGTGTGTGTGTGTGTGTGTCTGTCCTAGGGATCCTGCTTCCAATCGTCCAGGAGGGAGAAATATGGCAACGTCTTTAAGACTCACTTGCTGGGACGCCCCTTAATCCGGGTGACCGGCGCCGAGAACGTGCGGAAGATCCTGATGGGAGAGCACCACCTGGTGAGCACGGAGTGGCCCCGGAGCACCAGGATGCTCCTTGGACCCAACACGGTGGCCAACTCCATCGGGGACATCCACCGGCACAAGAGAAAGGTAAGGGGCGGGGCCCGCACCCCACAGCGAGCAGCTTGCGGGGAGGGAGACTAGGGTACCCCCCACTCCCGGCGGCAGCGAGCTTAATGCCTCCCCCACTCTCAACCCCCGGGGTGCCCCAACCAGGCGAGTGGGCCCCCGTCCCAGAGCTCCCCCGCCCCCCGGGAGCTGGGTCCCTGCTCCGCCACAGAAGGGGGAGAGGGGAGCACGGGGACTCCCCCCCCCCCCAGCTCCTGGGCGGGGCAGCAAACTTGTGACCCTGGGTCCCCTGCGGGTCGGGCCGCTCTCCCCCCGGCACGTGGGTGCCCCCAGCAGAGTCGCGGCGTTCGGATAATGGAACGCGGCAGGGCGAGCGTTCGAAATTCCGAACGCTGCCGGCAGCCCCGCGAGTCCTTTGAGGAATTTAAAAGGGCGATGGAGAGATGCGAGCGGGCCCGGAGGGGGGGGGGGGGGTGAGGGCTGGCAAGCCGGCTGGTGCGGGCTTCCCCGCAGCTCTGCCTACCCGCCGGGAGAAGGGCGATCACCGAGGGGCTCAGCACACAAGGGCCCGCCCGGCCGAGCTCCAAGCTCGACTGCTAAGAGGGCGCTGCTGCTGCTGGTCGAGCTCAGCCCAGGGAGGGACGCCGGCAGCGCCAGCTTCTTTCCATCAGCTCCCCTCTTAAAAGGGCAACGCCAGGGCTGTGCCGGGGGCGGGGGAGGCTGTCTGTGACCCTGTGAATGCAAGGGGAGAGACAATGACGTTGTTATTTCGAAGGCGCAGAACGGCAGTTTCCAGCCAGCACCCACTGGTTCCTTACAGTGCCTTTGGAGCAGTCTCTTGCTTTCCTCTGTGCTGGGCTCTGGTTTTCTTTACAGAGCTTCATCAGCATGCCGGGCATTGCACTGAACCCAGGCGACCTCCCAGGGCTAGGTTCTGATCTCAGTCAGGAAGGGCTGAAATCCGATGCTGTAGGACTGACTTCAGATTCTGATTCACTGACCTAACCCCCAGGGTAACTTGAGAGCAGCACCTGTCCCTCTGTCTTCCTCTGCGACCGATGCATTGCCCAGCACGCTAACAGCTCTCTCATCATAATACACCTGATCTAAGCACAGAGGAAAGGGCAATTCTTAGAATATACACTGTAGGGAACCATTGCCTTCAGGAGAATTACTCTGGAGTAACAGAGATCAGGATGGCAGCATTTGCTCTTCCCTAGAGATTACAGTCCCAGGCACCAATCCTGCAATGCGTTCCGTGCAGGCAGAATTTCTGCACCCAGGGGCCCACACAGAGCTCATGGCAAGATCTGGGCGTTAGCAGACAAACACTGGCATTTGGGCCCATCATGCACTGCATTAGCACGAGATGGTGGCCTGACCTCCAGGTATTTGTATTGTGGATTGCCTAGATTACAGAGGGGCAATTGGTTCCCCCATGTACCCTTTGATTCTCACCAGAAAATAGGCTTTTTCTGAGCTTTCTTTCATTTGGACAGTAGAATAAGAGACACAAAACATATAAGACTGTAACCATTATCTCACAGTACTGCTGCATGCTGAATGGACCCAGGTATACTGTTGCATACTGAAGACCCATAATGGTTCATTGACCTTGCCTTCTCTAACATAAACACAAAGCAGGCTGTGTGTGTGTGTTGGGGCGGGGGAACACCCTACCAAAACAAAACACTCTACCATGCACGTTTATCCCCCTGGGGAGAAGATGAGAGATTTTAATCCCATCTCTTAATGCGCTATTGGAAGATGCTCGGACACTCCAGTGATGAGCACAGTATAAGAACCTACAGAGAATTTAATAGAATTCATTGTATTGGATTCCAGTTTGCAAATTTGATTTGTTGTGGGGTTTTTTTAGTATATAGCAATGCGCCCCATTGTAGTGTCAGGAGGTGGGTGTGATACTGCACACAAAAGAGATGACCCTGCTCCCTCTATGATGGGGGCGTAGCTTGGGAGGCTTGAGGGAGAGGAGAGGAGGCCTGGTTATACAATGCTGAAAAAAGCGATGCTAACTTTGGGACGGCTGCAGGAAGGAAACCGAGCTATGCTGAAGCCTGCAATTTCAGCTCCCTCAAGTTTCCTACTGAGGAAGGGGGCAGAGTCAAACAATTACTCGAAGGTCCATGTAAATATTTTTTCGTTTCCCTCAGGGAAGGAAAGATGTTTCTTTTTTATTGCAAACAAGGGGGAGCTGAGGACCTTTGGTTGAAATCTCAGTAGGTGGAAGCTTTAATAAAACCATGAAGTTTAGACCTCAGGAAAAAAAATAGAGGAGTGGGGGAAGAGAGTAGCTTATGGGAATGAGGTAATGGAAAGGGAATACACTTAAAAGGTCTTCACACCTGCCTATAGAGCCCTTCAGGTTTACTAATGATTTGTACCTCAACTGAACACCGAGGTGCTGACATCAGAACTTGAATGATAAGCATTTCACAAGGGGAGTTTTCCATCCTATGCCTTTACTTTCTCTCGACACATTAAACCAGTTACTTTATTTTTACCGAGGGGGAACAACATCCCCTAGATGCAGGCCAAGTTTTGTGAGTGTGGAAAGGGACCGCATGTTAAGATCCGAATTCCCCAATCTGCAAACCCCAGCCCACATGGTTTGGTTCCATGTCTGATCCAAAACTCGGGGGCCTATTTTCCAATTAGAATGTGGCCAGAACCTCATGACACCAAATATTCTCACAAAATTTTGACTTGAGCGGAGCTGAAATCGAATAAGATTTTGGTGTCATCCGAACCCTATACGCTGTTTCCTCAGCTAGTCTACGCCTACCTTCCATTTGAATTCTGGCTGACATCATAAATAAACACAAGCTACCTTCAAGGATTAGGGGCATGGGGGATGGGAAGGGAGAATGAGAGACATTTTTAGATGCTAACCATTTTTAATGAGGTATTTTTCTGTGGTGACTGTTAAGTTTTCTCTGGTACAACAGTAGATGTTGCTGAAAATTGATTAAGCTTGCTGGATCAGTTTCCTTTGAAAAAACTTAGTCTGGTTCCCTTGCCTTCCCTGGTCAGCTTTCCTCTCAATTATTGTTTTCTTGATTGTCAGCATCTGGTGTGTGCCCAAGTGCAACTATTTACCCGGCAGTCACTTGAATCGTTCTTTTCCATGCACACAAGCATGTCCTTGCCCTGGATGGGAGGCAGTTCTAAGTAAGTTACTCCCTTGGAAATCAGACAAACATGTTTCAAATACGAAGAAAACAAAGATCATTTTGTTCTTGGCTGTATCTCTGTACTCTGGCTGGTGTAGACAAGACGATGACCAGCCCAAGGTCCTGTCAGGTCAGGTGCCCTGCCACAGACGGTAGTCTCAGGTTTCTTTTGGATAAAGCAGTCTCGATCCGAAGCTGCTATTTGTTTTGCAGTTATTATTATTAATTTCTAACTCTTCTCATCCTGCTATTGGTGTTGAAGGGAATGTTAGCAAGAATGTGCTTCAGGGCATGTGAGGAAGTGGAAGTCATATACTTAGGACAACTTTAACAGCCTGGGCCATGTGGCAGGTTTTCTCCGATGCCTTATCGACAGAAGATGATGTTTTACATCATCTAGTCTCTCCCCAGTGGAGAGCGAAATGAAGGATGATTGTTCTCTGCAGTATTCATCTCCATCGCTTTGTCCATTCCAGGTCAAAACGTCTCATGCAATGAGAATGTTTGAGGTGAAGCAGAGCTACTGTGGAGTAGGGGTTAGAACCAGGATCTGGGAGCTTGGACGATTAGGTACTTCTATTCCTAGCTTTGCCATGGACTCTTGGATCAGGAGAGCTAGGTTTTCGCCACAGCCTGTGATCTTGGACAAATCACTTGACTTCTCTGTGCTTGAGGCTTTAATCTCTTAACATTTGTAGAGGGCTTTGTGATCCTGGGATGAAAGGTGCTAAAGAAGAACAAAGTATTCCTATTACGCTGTATTAAAAAGTCTGTAGCGATGGCAGCTCACGGCTTTCCCCTCCTCTGTTTATTAAAACTCCTCCGCATGTGGTTGTCCAAGGGAATATAAACTGGAGAAAGCTTGCCTTTGGGAAATTAACTCGTCAGTCTTTATTGGAGTGTACATCTGTGGCTAAAGAACCGCTTTGCTCCAGAACCAAACAGCTCAGGGGCTGGGGTGGAAAGGTGAGAAAGGAGCTGCATGCAGTCTCCTTGGCAGGACTGCACATTTAAGCAATCATATCTGTTTATGGCTGATATCATCAAAGGTGGCTTCATCCTTGGCCCAAGATGAAACCGAGGGATAAGAACATTTGCAAGCACTGGAAGCCCCAGATCAATATGTACCTAGCGGTTGTTACTGTGGTTGGATCACAGGGTTTACACTGACGTTAGAGAAGAACGTTAGTTGGCTTTGAAAAAACCATTTCCAGCTTTGGGCTTATGCAGCAAACTAGCACCAACCCCATGCACCCACATGGAGGGAGCTTGTAAATATACAGTCTGCCACTTCAAACCGAGCGCATGAGACTGAAAATAGCTACTGCAGCCGAGGCTCCCTCCTGCTAGGGTGTGTGATCAGGCACAGAAAACACTCCAGCTGTCACAAATACAGGCGCTAGTTTACCCAGCGAGGCGATGCCGTTATAATGTTGTTGTTTATGATTTGTATTATCGTAGCTTCTCAGAGCCGCAGTCATGGACCAGGGCCCCATTGTGCTAGGCATTGGACAAACCCAGAACAAAAGAACAGCCCCTGCTCTAAATTGCTGACAGTCTAAGCATGAGACGCCCCTTTCCTGAAATCATACGCTGTCTGCATAGTAGGCAAAGATGCGCTGCTCTGGGTTCCGCTCTTGCATCCGTCTGCCAGTACGGGATTGTGCCCTGCAGTACAATACGTTTGTCTAAGGACCTAATTTTTCATAGTGGTTGAGCACCTGTCTCTCCCACTGAAATCCCGGGTGCTGATCGCCTTTTAAAATCAGCTCCTCGGTTGATAGGAGTTCCTGCCCTTGAACAGTTCCACACACGTCTGCCGGATAT